CGATGGCGGCGGGCCATTCATGTTGCGCGAACGCCTTGTTACCCTGCGCCTTCAGCGCAGTGGCAGCCTCGAGATCGGAGGACGCCATCGGAAGAATAATAGAATAATAAAAAAGTGAGAGGAGTGTGTGGATAGCAAGCGACCTGGTAAGAATGAGGTGGATGGCAGGGGGGAGGTTTTCGGCAGGTGAGCACGCGGGAACAAATTAATTGTAAGGGAAGAGGCGGGGAGAATTAAAGAGAGCGAGAGAGAACAAGAGAGGCGACGATAACGATGATGATGATGATGATGATGATGCAGTGAGCACGACACAAAAAGGGGACAGCAATGATTTACGGTCAGTGCCCAAATTGATAGATAACAATGTAAGAGAATGAAACAAGACTAGAAGCAATCTGAACTGATAAAAGATCTTTGATCTCCCACAAAGCTGTGAACCACCCGTCAATCAGTCGGCCATGAAGGCCATGAAGCACTTCCGAGGATTTATTTGATGTCCGCCCGTTTTCTCCGGTCTTGGCAACTCTCCCGGTCCGATTCGAGAACCTGCAACACCACCACCGGACCTCGCAAACCGTGAACTAACCTGGAATTCATTCATTATCAGGTGCCATTCATTCTGCTCTATCAATCCCATTGTTCCCCAGCAAAGCATCCAAACCTGTCGCCGCTCTCTCCACAGCGTACCAACCAGCCTTCAAATCAGCCCAGCCTTCGACCGGCAACAAAGAAACAAAAAACCACACATAAGGGCACCTCACCTCTGGCAGGGAGTCCAGCTCAGTGACACTCCCACTCCGTTGACCTCTCAACCTCCAACCAACCAACCAACCTTCACGCAAAACCCTGACACGAAAATGTCCTACTACGTCGCGCCCAGCCAGCAGCGCACTCTCCGCGCTTGCATGGTCTGCTCTCTCGTCCAACTCCACAGCGTGAGTCAAAATCCCAACCCAACCCATCTCCAAAAGCCCCCCAACCAGACTCTCTTTCACCCATCCAACCCATTCCAATCACACACCCCTCCGAAGCTAACCTAGTACTCTTACCACCGCATCACAGAAATTCATGCGCGAAGGCTGCCCCAACTGCGACAACGTCCTCGGCCTCCGCGGCAACAACGACGCCATCCAAGAATGCACATCCCAGGTCTTCGAGGGCCTGCTGACGCTCCGCGATCCCACGACCAGCTGGGTGGCTCGGTGGCAGCGGCTGGATAGCTATGTGCCCGGGACATACGCCGTCAAGGTGACCGGTTCGGTGAGTTAGGGCGCATACCACCGGTGGTGGTCTTTGGACTAATGGCTGGTGCAGCTTCCCGATGAGATCATTTCCAGCTTGGAGGACTCGGGGATCAAGTATATTCCGTATGTGCCACACTCTCTGTCTTGTGTTTCGAGGACATGTCCTGCCAGCTGCAGAAGCTTACTGACTGTGTTTTCTTCTATAGGAGGGATGGTAGCACTGGGGAAGAGGAGGCGTAGAACGGCTTACTCGATTCAATATTTGCTATTCGACGAAGGCGCGCGGCCTGGGAATTCCGGGTGGAAGGGGAGGTGGTTTTCGTTTGTTTTGTTCCTTGCGCGGTTGCACAACACGGGAGTTTTGGTTAGGTTGTTTTTCTCGTACTGTATGCGATTGATTCCGGGAAACATGGTTGCTTGCCCCTTGAACTTTTTTTACTGCGCCGGGGTTGCTCGTCAATTCTCACTTCTCCAGAGACGAGCTTTCAAAGGTTCAGAAGATCAGCCCCGAACAATGCTCGATACCCGATTAGATGAATATTCAATGTTGCCTTCCTGATGGCATCCAATTGCTATTTCTCGATGCTGACATAAATACAAGGCATCAACTCATCCTATTCATACGCTGCTAAATTTGGCTCAAGTAGAACGCAAGAAATGAACCCAATCAATTGCCGACCCGCCCGATGTACCACTGAACGCCAGATTTCAATCACAAATGTATCAGATAGAGAAGAAATGTCGGTAGACAATCAAGCCGCTTTACAGCTGCTTGATGATCTTCTCAACGCTCTCCAAGAGAATATCAGCTGCAGATGATGTTAGCCTCCGATCATCTTACTCCTGTTAGGTGATTGACTTACCATGGTGCTTCTGGAAGATCAACATGGGCCTCAAGCGAACGGCACTCTGGCCGCTTCCGCCAATGTTGACACCGACGTTTTTGGCCTTGGCCAAGAATTCGTCACGCTTGGGAGAGTCCCAGGCAATGAAGGTACCTTGGCCCTTACCACGGAGGTTCTGCAGGTGCTCGGGGTACTGCTTAGCAAGACGCTCGAGACCGGCAAACAGGTATTCACCAGTGATGGCAGTGTTCTCCACCAGGTTCAGGCGCTCGATCTCCTCGGTGATACCGCGGAAGATGAGGGCACGGGCCGGGTCACCCATCCAGGTGTTGAACTGACGGTAAGGCTTGTTGGGACGCAGAGCGGGGTTTCCGTAGTAGTATCCGGCAGTTTGGGCCTTCTTAGAGAAAGTCACAATATCGGGGGGAGTGGTCAGGTTCCAGTGGTCATGGGCCCAGAACTTTCCAGTAGCGCCCACACCAGTCTGCACCTCATCAACAATGAACAGGACATTGTGGCGCTTGGTAATGTCGCGGAGACCCTGGAAGAAAGCAGGAGAGGCATGGTTGTCACCACCCTCCGACTGGATAGGCTCAACCACAACAGCTGCGACAGGGTTGTGGAACTCCTTAATCAGGCGCTCAACCTCCTGCAAGCAGCGCTGCTCCTCCTGGGCATTCTCCGCGGCATGCTCCTCAAGGGGGTACTTGAGCGAGGGGAAGGGAGCCTGGGGCCAGTCAAAGGCAGGGATATCAAGCTTGTGGATAGGCTTGCTGCGGGTAGTAGACAGACTACCAAAGAGACGGCCGTGGAAGGCAGACTTGAAGGACATAATCGACAGCTGAGGGGAACCCGGGGACTGGTTGTTCATGGTAGTCTGCAGCTCCTCCTCAGTGAACTCCTTCTCAGCGCCACCACGCTCGCGCTGGCGGTAGTACATGAAGGCAGCCTTGTAAGCAGTCTCATTGGCGTCGGAACCAGCCAAGGCAGTGAAGACCTGGTTGAGACCCTTGGGAGCGACCTTGAGAATGCCCGTGTTCAGGATGTCGGCCCAGTCGTGAGAGGGAAAGTTACCCAGAGCAGGTCTGTTGATCAGGGCATTGACCATCTCGGGAGACTCGGCCACCTTGCGGAGGTGAGGGTTGTTGTAACCAACAGGGATGGAGGCAATCTGGGCGTAGCTGTTGCCGAGAACCACGTTAGATGCGAATCAATATATAGAAGCGAAGGTCAGGGTCAGGGGAAGTGTGGTAGCTTACACATCAAGGAGAAGGTTTCCGTCAGTATCGGCGATGCTGCGGTCGAAAATTAGCTACTAACTCATAATTCAGGGCGATAACCTGGAGGGGCTCAAAAGACATACTAGTTTCCAGTAGACTTGTAGTAATCAGCCAGCATGTTCAAGCTGCGCACATCAAAGACCTGGTCCAGCTTCTGAGCAGCAGCCTTGTTGTTGGGGCCGGGAATAGCAGTGGCCAACTTGGGAGCTGTGGGCTCGTCGGGGAAGAACGGCTTCTCAGCAGCCCGCAGGTGGGCAGTGGTGCTGAGGGTGCGGACTGCCGAAAGGCGAGTCGCTGTGCGAAGCTTCAGGCTGGAGCGGAAAACAGCTGCCATTGTGAATATACAGGAGGGTTGTTTGATGGGTAGTTTTGGTGAAGTGTAGAGTTATCTTCTCCCTTGTGCCAGGCACAACCAGGACAAAAAGAAGCGGAGTGGAAAGGGATGATAACGCGATGACGACAGATAAGGGAGTGAGGGGGGAGAGAGTACAGATCGCCCACCAGCCTAACTAATCGACAACTCGCAGGGAAAATTCAAGATAAAGCTGCAATGGACAGTCAAGGGGATAATTGACACTTGAAGATTCAAGAACAAAAAAAAGTCCCCTCCAAATTTGGTCGCGCGCGTGGTTAAATACCAGGCCACGGTGCGGAGACAGAAGCAGCTCTGACGGAAGCTGCCCCGCGCCAGAGAGCTCTCCTCGGCGATTTGCACCAATCACCACCCAGGATATGCCCGTGCTCGGCGATACAGCAGATGCGCCGATAAAATGGAGTCTCACAATCAACAATCAGTCCTGATCACTCGACTATTAGTAGCATCGATTATCCATTTGCTCATCATTCGGTCCGATTGCTGTCCGGAATGTGTTCTCCCCGGAACGACTTTCCCTTTGCAATGGTGGCTTCACAATTGCAGCGGTGAGAAAAACAGCAGCCTGGCAAAGTGGAAGTTGGAGATAGCTTCCAGTTCCCCAGGTCATTCTTATCGGTCGGCTTGGCAGGCAGGATAAGGAATGTTCCTCAACAAAGCAAGCGACGTTCATACTGCCATAAAGATACAACGGGTAGGGGCTGCATACTCGAGGACAAAACTGAGTCACCAGGTCTTTCTTAGGTGGTAATTAGCGCAGACAGTTGTGCGTGAGCTTGAATGAGACCCAAAAGTCGGCTCGCAGAGCCCGGGCGGAGACATATTCTGTTGCGAGCGGGCTTGATGGTAAATGCTTAATTGCGCTTCTTGCAGTGGCTACAGGGCTTCCATCACCCTGAAATTCCGACGTATACGACCCCATTGACATGGGACGCCGTGCACTTTCAGCTTTTCCATCTGGAGAACCTGTTCAGCGTGTTGTTTTCAACCACGAACGTCAGCCTTATTCTCAGCACCCCTGCGGTCACAATCAACAACCACTACACTTCTGCTTCGCATCACCATCCGCACGATCACAAGCCCTTCCGAGCAAAAGACAACACCAAATCCTGAACACGAGCATTTCTTCCGTCATACGAGTGGACGATGGCTCTGGGATGAAGAACAGCAGCTCCGGGACAGGTATAAGGTGTTCAACGTTGACGAGCTCCAAAGCCTCGCGGCCCAGGCCGTCCGATCAGACAGCTGCATCTCCATAATGAAGCTGGCCGAAGGAGGCTACAACAAGGTCTTCCGTTTTATCATGAATGATGGCAAGACAGTGCTTGCCCGGATACCAAACCCCAACGCCGGCCCAGCGTTCTATACAACTGCATCCGAAGTCGCTACCATGGAGCTTGTAGGTTCACCTGAAACCAAGCTAATCGCAAGGGCGGCTAGTTCATGCTCGATCCCAGGCCCGAGATTTCCTTCAAATCCCCGTGCCTCGAGTCCTTGATTGGAGTGCCACGTCAAACAACGCCGTTGGCTCGGAATACATTATTATGGAAGAAGCATCTGGCATACAGCTTGGAGTCATCTGGGATCAGCTGAATCCGGACAAAAAGCTCTCCATTATGCGGCAGATACTGACGCTCGAGTCAAAGATGCTTGGGGTGTCGTTTTCTCAGTATGTGAATCCGTTTAACTGACGAATGCGTGTGTGGAATCTGATCATCTTGTCAGCTTTGGTAGTATATACTTCGCGAGCGATCCAGTGGAAAGTGCAGTTCCGGCACTGCTCACCAACGGCGCTTCCTCCGAACTGAAAGAGAGAGTCTGCAAGAAGTTCAGTATTGGGCCCACCGTCGAGCGAAGCTTTTGGAAGAAGGAACGCTCGTCAATGCAGATCTCGCGGGGTCCTTGTAAGCATTTTCAGATCGTCGTTTCAAATTGTTTTTTATATTAATTTCTATCAGGACGAACGCCCCAAGAATATGCGCTAAGTGTTGGCCGGCGTGAACTGGAGTGGATCAAACGTTTTGCCATCTCGAAACTACCAAGCGAAGCTACTCTCATTTCTTCAGCCCCCCAAAATAGTCCACAAGCACATCTGCAGCTGCTGGAGAAGTATCTCCAAGTGGCGCCTGCTATGATGAACATTGACTCCGTCCTCACTCGCCCCACGTTGTGGCACGGAGACCTCCTTTCATCGAATCTGTTTGTTGACGATGGCCAGATTACGGCCGTCATCGACTGGCAGGGCTTGTGGGCAGGGCCGCTCTTCCTTCAATCCCAACCCCCACCGATCGCGGACTACGCAGGCAGCATTCTCCTTCAACGACCCGGCAATTTCGACGATCTGGGCCCGGAGCAGCAAGCGGAGATCAAGCACAAAATCTTCAAATCGACGCTATATCAGCTCTACCTGCTGAAGACCAAAGAGCGGAACCCTTTGATGACCTCGTCTCTTCCCGTGAGGCACTCATCAGCGTGGAAAGGTAGCTATCTCATCTTCAGTAGCATCTTCCTTTTTCGGACAGAATCTGATCTTTCATCTCAGACACTGGCCCGAACTGGGTATCCAGGGCGAATGCCCCTATCACTTCACGCAAGATGAACCACATAGCCACGCCGCCGATGCCGAGGGCTGGAACGAGGTGCAGGAGTTCTTTGACGGTATCGAAGGTCTTGTGAAACGGGATGGCTGGACATCCCCCGATACGTTCGACGCCGCCTTCAGCTTCTTTTCCGAACTGCGAGAACGGGGCCTCAAGAGAGCGCTCGACAGACAGACTCGTTGGGCGAGAAAGCAGAATGGGTGATTCCCCAGGCCTATGCGACGTCACAGCACTCGCATCCGATGGAATGGATACCTTTACGCTTCACGTGGTCCTACCGCTATTTTGACCATGCAGTGTTTCCGGTCAAATAACAAACAAAGGCAGTGCGTCGGACTGAGGATCAATAGTCAGTAGTCGGTAGGAACCGGAGTACGTAGAAGGGCAGTTACATAACAGTAAAGTACAGAGCCAGCATTAAAGCACTAAACTCAAAGGGATAAAGCTTACTGGATACAGTAATTCACAGGCCTGCTGTCTGAAGATAGAGATCCCCGGCGTACGGAGGATTAATCTATCGCATCGGAGTCCACGAGGAAGTCTAGATTGCTCTTTCCTGGACAGCCATCTACTTGAGTTTCACACGTGCATACACCCCTGCTAGTATGTTCTACAATGCGATACCAAGACCGGGTTTTAATACAATAGGATTGTCTACTCAAAGTTACTGTGTGACACGCGACAGTCAAGTGTCGGAGGGAAGAGCGACGCGGAGATTCGAGAAGCAGGGTTGCTAAGGAAAACACGTAAGCACCTTTTGGTGCCTGCATTAGTATGCCCGCATCCAGTGAGGCCGGCATATGCTCCTTGAACTAGCCCGAAGAAGGTAGTCTACGCGATGCAGTGCCGGCCCGGTCAGGCCAATCTGGCATCCAAGCTGAACCTCTCGAGTGACCGAGTCAGAGTGCCAGGTGGGGAGTGCGGGATCCGATTGCGGAGCTGCTCCATCGACCCACTTCTAGCACTTCGCCAGCTGCAAGTAATTTGAATAGACATCGCTCAATTTGAGGTTGGAGTCGCTTCGTCACGGCGAGCGCATAACTTGGGTGTTATAGAAGTAAATTTACACACAGAATGTAGATATAAATCGTTGTATACAAAAAAGAAAAGGAATGGGTCTTGCCAGAAGTGCACGGCGCTGTGCGTAGACGTGATGCGTACATGTGTTGAACACGATTACGATCGTTAAGCATTATCATCGTGATGACGGAACTCGGTTGTATAAGACATGATAAGAATATTAATCGAATCGAAGAAAGAACTAGAAGAAGTTCTTATCGTCAGTCGTCGACCGGTCAGTCACCGACCGTTCGGTGTTCGAGTTCAAGTCTCGAGTAAGGGAAGCAGTAGACTTGTCGCTACCAGGCGACGTGTAGACCACACCGTGGTTCTTCAATTCCACGTGATGTGTAGGTGTTGCAACCCGCATATGGTTCGATATTGACGAGGGCTGATTACTGTCGGCATGCCCAGGCTTCTTGATCTCAGACCAAGTCTCCATCTCCACCGTACGCAGAACCTCGAACCGATCGACATTGGTGTCGCCTTGATAGCCATATTGGCGATCTTCAATTCTTGATTCTTTGGTAGGCGCGCTCGAAGACCATCCCTTTGGCGGAAGGCTCTTCCGGCCATAAGACGATGCATAGCGGCGACTGGACTGGAGAAGACGGGGCAGAAAGAAGGTGACAAGGGGCCTCAACGCAGGGGCAGAAGCGCAGATCTAGACAAGTCAGACAAAATTGAATCAGTCAGGAAGAGATGATAACATACCAAGCCCATGCTGATCTCTATTGAAGCAGCGAGAAGGACAGGCCAGCCCACCCAAGTAGTATCATATGAAGCCACCATGCTCTTCCAGACGTAAACTGTCCGGATGGAGCCAGCCACATTAACCACGATTCCCAAGCCAAAGATTGAGATAACAGCAACTCGCTGTCGAGCAGGCATCTTCAGATTCCAGATCAATGGCATTGGGAGAACGGTGGTGAGGAAATCAGTAAAAATGTTCACGACACTGGCCGAGAACACAGCAGCACCGTCGTTGAGGCAATGGAAGGAGTATGTGGGTGCCACTTCCCAGTATGCGCGTATAGGCCTAAATCATTAGTACATATTCACGGTAAGATGCGCTTGTGATGAGAGCGTCTTAGAAGGGAAACTCACGAGCATTGAAAGATGGAGATGAAGAGAAATAGAAGACAGCATATTAGCACGATGACCATGCCGATGATCAGCACAATATTGTAAGAGGAATATAGGCCTTTGCTTCCGGCTCCAAGTAAACGCTTGCAGAACCACAACAAAGAAAGCTTTGTGATACTGGACGACAAGGAGAAGAGCATTTGGAATGCGAGGTTGAGTTTGTTGACAGCTGGCAGCCAAGAAGGTGGAATATCCCAGATGTGTCGGGTCCAACCGTAGTTTTCAGTTGCTATAGATGTTACAGCGCACATTCCAATTGCGAAAGCCTGACGCACGATTGTTAGCGGCTAGGTATTACGAGTTCTGCAATCTGGTACTCACAAGGGCCCAAATGATGAGAATGTCATCGAAACCGAAGGTGCACGTTATCCTCAAACGCGTATAGAGGCGGAGGCAGGTGACAACGAATGCGACGCTGAGGAGGACAACGCTGACGATAAGCACATAGTTTCCACGAGTGACAGGGTCGACATAGTTAGGCGTGGGCCATGTCGCCAGGACACTGGCGGGTGGAATTCGCATGTTAGGACGAGGTTATTCGGATGAAGGTTCGAGTGGGGTTCAGTTGCTGAATTATTTGGATGGAGCGAAGGGTTGTTCAAAGACGCGATCATTCAGTTGGAATTCAAGCATAATCACCAGCAACCCCGGACAGATAGTTGCTAATCACATTGGCCATAATCACGATCCGATATCAGTGAGAGGGTGAGCGAGAACCTATCGCAATGGCAGACTGAGTCCGAGTCACTAACACCACATGCTAGTTGACAGCATCGATGATGGGAGGGCGACGGGGGATATAATATAGCCAGGAATGAGGTACCCACTCCCAGAGTTCGAACTGCCGTCGATTCAGGTCCTGGTCCCTTTCTCCAACCATGAATTGCCCGTAGCCAGCCCACCTTGACATTTTGACTTTGGCTGGGGCAACCAATTTCAGATCGATCCCAGCAAAGCTAAGAAACAAGTCAAGGTCCTCCAATGAGCTGGTGGGCCTGACTCCACAATGGGGTAGTATCGGCCAGACAATGGCGAGGAGGGGGGCCACTGGGAGTGAGAATCGCCGGGGGTTTCACGGGGTGCACAGGACAGCAACAGGCAGATCCGTTGAACCATCGTTCACATTCTGCTCCACATTCCGGCGGAATCGATCTAATGCTTGTAGCGAGTGAGCCATTAATCACCGGCCCAAGTCTAGATGGTCAGCGTGAACCAGGGTGCCAAAGTCTATTCACCCATAGTCAAGAACTGACCTGAAATTTGCGGACAGAGATTCATTTGCTGGCTATTCAGAGCGGTTCTCCAACAAGAATTCGTCAGCCTCCAACTGGATTGAAATTATGGTCCGAGAGGAATTGTGGGAGAAAACCTGGTGGATGTAAAATCCGATGTGATGGAGGAGGAAGGGAAGGAAGGGAAGGAAGGGAAGGAAGGGAAGGAAGGGAAGGAAGGGAAGGAATATTGCTCCACAATCCATAACCACAGTAATCCACAATTGAACATGAGCTCGTGGTGTCTCCTCATTTAAGCGGGATTTAGTGTGGTGGCGCTCGAGACAGATTCCGGATGGGGAAAGGGTTGCCCCGCAGACAGACAACTGGGCATCCAGACAACAATCTCATCTCCTCGGTACAATCTTCAATTCCCACCAAGCAGCTGAAACGCTACTACGGAGTACTCATACAAACTACGGAGGGAACTCCGTACTCGGAGTACTACCTTACCTCCTTAGGTACAGTACCGTACCTTCACAGTTCACACTGATCATTATACATGTGCTTCCTGCTGCTTACGTTGCATCTGCCATCGGCAATTGTGCTGCCATCCTCATGGCGTGCACTCGTTCCTGCATCTTGCATCCACCATGCAGCATGCAGAAAAAGCCTTGTCTCTCCATTTGTCCATTTGTTCTGTTATCTGTCAAGTCTACTCTCCGCACAAGACATTGTTCTCGTTCAAGCTGAAAGCAGATCGTTCCCCCTGAGATTGCCAATTTAATAGTACGCAGGAAGACTTCGAAACTCGACTTGGCATTGAACAGGTGCCTGCGACACACTGATCCCTCTACAACGAGGTCAAACATATACTTCCTGAGTAGTATGAATAGATACTCGCAGACAACCACAGCGACCGTACGAACACCTCATCAGATCCACCCTACCTGAAGGGGCTAATGATGGGATTCTAAAAAGGGTTACCGATCAGAGCACAAGTGGAGCGCATTACTCCATCAGATACACGGCTGTGACAATCATGGGCCGCAGCCTGCTTTAAAGTTTTTAACCTCAATGATCTTCTAGCCTTGCGAAATAGTGCGAACCCGAAATTCTGAGGACCAGCTGGCAGTCTTACCACTCGGTCGCAATGACAAATTCTTGACATGAACGATGACAGATATGTCTCTTGATGCCTTCCCTGATTTTGGTCAAGTGGAAGCTTTCACCTGCCCTGCAGTCATCCGGCAAGTTTTGACAAGAGGGTGCCGACAGCCACTGCGATAAGCTTTATCGAACCATCGGGAGCAGTCGAACCATGGAGGGCACGCCACACTCTTGTAGGCTGGATGCTTCGATCGCAGGCTGGTACGGTTCCTACATGGTGGAAGAGTACCCGTCCGCTCATCCGGGGGGGATACAGCTTCCGATTATCAGGCGCTTGCACTGACGGACGCTTTGGGCGGATGGTCCCAGCAATGCTTGCCAGGACCCTACCTGACTCGACGCGTACCCGCTGCGCTTACAGACACGGCTGAATTATCTTGTGCATTGTCTGTTTCTAGTAACCCTTGAGAAGGGTTGTTTTCGTTCTCGAAGGCATCAACCGCTCTAGAAACCTGAGAGCTAGCTTCAAACCTCGGTTTCAGGGCGAGTGGCACGTTGTTTGCTTGTCAGCTCAGGTGTGACCCCATACTGTAGGCGTATCAGCACGGCGCTGATCAGTTTGCATTCTGCCCTAGTGGTCGGGTATACAAGGAGTTCAACAGACAGATCGTCCACCACGGTAGGCTGACCGTGGCACCAGCTCCTATGCCCCTACTCGACTACCTATATCAGCATCAGGCTGCCTTCTCATCATGCAGTTGGAGTAAGAGACTCTCAAGGGCAAATTGACTCGGTGGAAGTACTCCCCAGCAGTAGCACTGGATTCTGATTATTCAGTCTTTCCGTTTCCGGCAAGAGTTCACCCTGCGGGTGGGGCGTGCTGCTGCCCGGTCGATCACCCATTCAACATTCTTCTAAATGGGGTTTCCTCGGCTCTGGCTCGTGGATGGCGATCGCTTGCCACTACGAGGAACCACCAGCGATCCTTATACATGTATGAGTAGAATGAAGGGTCTGTGTGGTCTCAAAGTTGGGTGCAGTCCAACGGTATGCCGTTCTCGGATCCTAACCTTAACCACAATCGTGAAACCGGGCCAGATCATGACGTCGGGAAAGCAAGAGCTGGTGCTCATGCAAATAGTCTTTGAGGATCTACCGGCCCTCCTCGGGTCAGCATACGACTTTATAGATAGGCATATATAGTTTATTGATATCTCTGATCAACCTTTACAGCCATTTAATTGCTTTTGATGACCACAGCTTCGACTTGTGATACTCTTTCTTCTTCTTGACCGCTGTTGGGAAATGGCTTATCCTAATGTCACTAGCAATGAAAGCAAGCATATAATCGAAAGCAAGGGTTGACCCCCCTGAATCCTTCGCACTACTGCAGATGATCATGATGGACAGCCGGCTCTTCAACCGGCTCCCTCCTGATCAATAGGCTTGGAAAGTGGACCGTACTCCAACATGGCTCCATCGTCCGGGGTTGTTTGCGCCTAACCGCCAGACATCCCCGGCCCATCATATGATCCGCATCACTTTACAGCAGAAATTCACCCTTCGTTTTCGCAACCTGCTCGTCATAGTAAGGTTGAAAAGCCAACCATCCTTTCTCCGGCCCCCCAACCTGCAAGGCCGCATAAGCCGCCTCCTCCTCGTCAATAATGATCTTCTGGTACCCCGCTGCGGATGCTGCATCGGCCAGGAGTTGAGCCTGGCAGGTCTTGTCCAGACTGATGAACCAGAATGCCGCTTCATCGACACTCTCCCCCACCGTCAGCAGGCCATGATTCTGCAGAATCACCGCTTTCCCCCCACCCAGAGCAGCCACGATCCGCTGACCCTCCTCCCGGTCTAGAACCACACCCTTGAAGTCCCGGTAGACGCCATGGCTCTTGTAGAACCGAAGTGCGTCCTGCGTGATCATCTCCAGCTCGCGGCCGAAGCACGAAAAGGCCTTGCCGGCGACGCTGTGGGCATGGCACGCGGCGTTCACATCCGGTCGGGCCCTGTGGATCTCCGAGTGGATGGCGAACGCGGGGGCATTGATGGGCTCATCGCCCTCGACAACCAAGCCATCCTCGTCCACCAAGATCAGGTCGGAGACTTTGATGAGCGAGAAGTGTGCGGAGAGGGGGTTGATCCCTAGGGCGAGTTCCGTACGTGTTAACAGCTTTGAGGTACATCCACGCTGGGAAAACTGGCATCCAAACTTACAGAAATGATCGGTGAGAATAGGATCGCGAACGGAGATGTGGCCCGCCACACCCTCGTCGAAGCCCCGATCCGCAAAGAGACGAAACGCCGCCGCCAGGTGCTGCTTGCGGTATCCGCGCTCGTCCTCCAGGCTCTGGAACTCAGGGTATCGGCGCACTTTCAGGTCCCTGCCATCCTTGGTCTTGCCGAGGACCTGTAGCTGCGGAGGGATGTCGGGTCTCTTGCCGGGCTTGATCGGGTCGGGGTTAGAGTCTGAGGCAGTCACCGATGGAGCCATGATTCGATTCTAGATCGTAGACAGGGTGGAGTTGTCAGACTGTAGTATCAATCTGAGAAGGAAAAAAAAAAGGAATATGCCCACGACGGTGGAAAGGTAACAATATACTCGAGCTTGATCCTGGAGAAACTCCGACACCCATATAGCTTGTTCCTCCCTCGGCACGAGGCGTCCAGATCTAAACTGCTTACCCCGCAAATCCGTCGACCTTTTTCCACCCCTGGGCTCTGGCTTTTCCGGTCTTCGATGGCACCCTGGGATAAAGGGATCAGCACCGTAAATCGACGCCCCTTCGGTGAAATGAGCTCCGATGTAGATAGATACCCCCCCCACACCCTCGCTCATCCCGCACCTATATCGCACTTCAGAAACATGTCCTATCCAGGCAACCATGCTCATTGCTATACCGTACAGGAAAACCCAAGTCCAGCCAGTACCCGGCCCTCCGGAAAAGGGAAACGCACGAAGAAAAGCTCACCGACTATCGTACTGGGGAAGCGATCCGCCCTTGGCCCCCCTTTTATGGTGAAGGGTGTTGAGCTCACTGCATGCTCGAGGTCTGCTGGACCCTAAGGGTCAGGGCTAGGTGGGCCGTAGGCGATAGGCTCTAGACTCTAGGCAAGTAGGGTAAGCAGGTGAGCCGACCCCCTCGATGCAGGGGTTCAGACATGGGCGTGTTGCGCTCCACTGGGGTTCCGGAGTTCATATTCTGTTGCATGATTGATTGAGTGGTAGGGTATGCTTAGGACCGGAGGCATCAGTGGCTGGCCGCTGTGGAGTGAAAGAGACAAGGGAATCCAACGGATTGGCCTGTGTAGGGAATAGGGATGTCTGGGTTGATGATGGAGGATATTGGGGGGGGCGACAGGTGGAAAGTAGGCGGGGGTGGAGGTGGATGGAGGGCACTGGAGTATGTTCTGGTAGACCTTTCCCTGCTTGTATACATACATCGGTCTTCCAAGCGGGGATCGTGCAGCGCATGGGCCATGAGATGGATACACTGCGCTACTGTAATCTGTATGTCAGATCTACTACGTACTCGTACGTAAACTGGGTCAGTGGGGAGATTCCTGCACACTAGACTTGGGACTCCACCCACACCTACAGTATGACAACTGTGCACAGATCCACACGGCTGCAGCAGTATGTTTTGAGTCGGACAAGAGAACAGTTCCCCAAGAGAGAGCGATCTGGCCAGTCTGCAGACCAATTGATCCAAACTCGAAGATGTGAGTGATTTGAGAGTATATGGGCCCCATTTTATGCCTATATCCACCACCTACACAGATGAATCGATGCAACAACTTCAAGCCCGAATATGGAACAAAACATTAACCCGAAGACATTCCAATCCATCCATCCATCCATCAGAAGGCAAACCTTGCCTAACAACAAAAACACCAGACTCACATGCTTGAAAAAAAACGAAGACGCCCAATTCCGAATTTTGGTCCCCCACTCATTGCAATGATGAATGCACCACGAAGCTCTTCTATCGCCAGTTTCGACGGCTCCCGAGGGCTCTCACACCGACGACTGCTTGCTACTCATGCTCCCGATCATGGTCGTCGTCTCCGACCCTGCTGGGTCCGTGTTGGCGACGACTTTCGACCGCAGCGCGGCGCGGATCTCGTCGACGGAGCGTTCCTTCCATTCGTTGTAACCGGAGGTGCTCAGCGGGAAGAGCACAAAGTTATCCTCGCGGACGCCGAACTCGTCCAGCTTGGGCGGGGGCATGGCGGAGATGATGTCGAGCTCGTTGGCGAGTTGGCGGCAGTAGGTCTCCAGGGGCAGATCATTGACGTCGTGTCCGAAGGGGTTCTCGATTTCGCTGCCGATGAACGCGAGGCCGAGGATGATGTAGGCGGCGACTAAGTTGTGAGTCAGTAGAGTTTTGGGTGCAGCCAATGGATAAGTACACACCGATAGAGCCGGGAATGGTGATCCAGCCCAGGTAGTTGTACATCTGGAAGGGAAGAACCATGACATAGATCCAGGAGATCTGCGCGATGGAGATGGTGTAGGCGGCGGGAAGAGGGGTATCGAGGACACGCTCCGTTCCGGTCAGACATTCGTTCAAGCTGGAGATACCGTTGACTTGCAGGGCATTAGCTTGAGAGCACACAAGTGTAAGGGAGGCGGGAATGCGTACTGGCTTGACTTTGGTGAAGACCGCAGGTCAAGGTTCCGTTTCCAATGCAGCGGTCAATGTAGGCGGACAGGTGGTTCAGGATCTCCAGCGGCAGATGTCCCAAAGGTTTCTTGGACCGCTTGATGAGCTTGCGTGGATTCGACTCTGCAAACGAAACGCCCAGTGATTCACCAACTTCCTTCCACAGAGACTTCTTCGGGGGCTGCAGGACTTGACGGTCGTGTGCCTCTTTGGCGAAGGTGTCGAGATGACCAATCAGGCCTGCCAGATCTTCGTAACCGACATCAGGCTCAAAGCGCAGCTTGTGTTTGAGGGCGACGGCGAAGGCGAGGATCAGGTTGAAGGCCGTCCTACTGATGTTAGCATATGCATTCTTCACTCTTGGACTCGGGCAGCATACAGCTTAGCCAGTAGATCGTCTTTTCCTAGTTCGCCCTCGCGCTCAGCTGTGTTTACCCAGATTGTCCGTGCGAGGTTGCGGGAGGTCTGGATCAGCAGTGCCCAGTATTTGCGTCCGTCCGCCCATCTGCCATACCGTTAGTTCCGTAAAATTGAGCCGGTATCCAATGCTTCACAACTTGCCTTTCGTAGGCGGTAGAACTGCGGAACGAAAGCGCCAAACTGACCACGAAACCGGTGATTGTGAGCAGAATACTATTGATACCAACTGACCACCCAATCATTAGAGACGACCTTTCAGCACCGTTGACAGGGCGAACTCACGAGAATGTACGAAGCGGGAGATACAGGTGATAGCAGTCGCCCAGAGGGCAACCAAGAACAGGGGGAGGATCATTTTGGGCATGATACTGCCGTGCATCCGGAAGGCGAGGGGCCATTTGGAGTGTCTATCGAGATCGCGGGGGCCATGCTATGCATAAACAGTCAGCTTCCCAGCTTCCCACATGGGTCAGAAGTAGTGCGTCACTGCATTGACGACATACAAAGTATCGATTGAGCTCACTCGAATTGCGTCGATCAAGCATGAATTGTCTGTCGCGGGAATTGGCGAGATTTTCGAGGAAGCTGGGGCGTGGCGTCAGGCGCCCCGGCCGGAATGCTTTCTCTTGTACATTGGCCGAGGGTTCATTCTTCGCAGTTTGGACCGGCGCGACAGGAGGCTGCTCCTGGTGTCCTGCTTCTTCCGACATGGTTGCTGAAGGTGATGGGGTGTAGGAGGAATTCGAGGGAGGAGGAACAAAGACGGTGAACAGTAGGAATTATGCGGTTCGCACACAAAGGACCTGCCTTGGGAGACGAACGATGAACTGGCTCCACAGAGACACCAAAAACAGCAGACTAGTCGACTAGTTGAATTGACTATGGGAATTAATAGCGAGGGAAGGAGTAACTCAGTAAGGAAAACACCCCGAAAATCGACGATGTCAGGAGTGAGAAGAAGGAAGGAAGGAAGAGGATTTGGGAATGAGATCTGGGAGGGGGGTTTGGAGCTGAATCGACGCTTAATATGAGCTGAGGAACTACTAAATTTAAGCGTTGGTCACACATTGGCTCTAGTCTGGAGCAAAGAAAAAATTATAGTACACAGTAAGAAACAAACGCAAATAGGGTGTCTTCTGGACCATGGACGAGAAGAAGTGTCAGTCAGTCAAGTACGTGTACGACTTGCGTACTCGTACAATACGGGGACTGTACCGCGTATCCTGTCTCCTCTTTTTTGTGCTTGTACAGCCACTGCTGGTGCAAGTCAACCAAAGGCAATGGAAGAACTTCCCCAAGGCCCAAAAGAACTCCGTAACAAGTTGACAACAGTTGGAACGGGGCGGGGCACAGGCGAGGGCGATCGGCATCTGGCCGGAGGAGGATTTGGTAGCCATTGGGAGACTTGCCAGTCCAGTTGGCGCACCCACGCCACGCGGGCCAAAACGTCACATCCGTTCACAAATTCAGAACGGCTACTGCCGCCCCATCGCGCTGCCCGCCGTGATTCGTTGAGTTGGTGGTTGTCAAAAGGCCAGACCGTCGGGTTTTTGAAACACTGGCTCGCTGGCGGGCTGGCCAATTCAATTCTTCATCTTCCCGTCCCCTGCGCCTCCTTCATCCGTCCGGACTGTCACTATTCTTGTTGTGCATCGAGGAAGTCTCTGTGCCATAGAATCAGATCCTCGCATGACTCCAAGAGAGTTGGTAGTTTACTCTACTCCGTACTACTCAATAATGTCCACCATCTTCAGCCCTTCGGAAAGGCAATCATCGGGAGTGGCGGCAAAAACAACCCGAACCCGACGCCATGGCTTGATGCAGGGGCAAGCCTCGTAATATTTCCCCCGAAAATAGGTTCCATCGCCAACCCATCTTTACAGGAAGACGATGAAACCGAGCTGCATCGGTCCAATAATAACGATCCCTTGGCAATACCTTCGATACGGTGTACTCCGAGAGAGAGTCCGGGACCCTTAAAAATAGTAGCATCCTTATAGCAGCAACAACTAGCGTTCATGGGGAGTTGGCTTGGAAGACGGCCAATGCGTTGACTGTGCAGTAACTACCAGGTGGTACGGAGTAGACTGACTTTCTTTCAGTCCTTCGAACCTGAAATAGTACCAAGACATACGGCACCCTTGAAATGCAGCAGAGATTAGTATTCTGTGCGAGAAACTCTGAGGAGGGGGCACGATAATCTTACATGATAGATCAACTCTCTCACCCGCACATCAAACATCCGTTTCATCATCCCGTAAGCCTGCATGAAGTGGCTTGCGCCGTTCTCGTTGCTAAGCCAAGCCCATGCCCAAGCCCATGCCATGCCATGCTTCGGGCGTCATTCAGTCAGTCACATCGACCCCTGATTTTCCTTTCCCCCTTGCCAAGTCTTATAGATAATTAAACTTACCACACGCACACACCTGCAAATACACAGTATGACAGTCACGCTGAGTGTGCTGTCTTGTTTCAAGTTTTGAGGTCAGCTGGGCGAATGGACGGGTCTCGATTCGACAGGGTGCATTCCATAGGTAAACTCTTTGACCTCTCGTTCAGGGACTGCAATGTTTTTGTGGTGTGCGGTTCATGAAGAGCGTTCGTAATATACCCAGGTCATGGTACAGTAGCAGCCTTGGAATGGGTAATCGTGCTGGTGTGGTGCCCAGTATCAGTCTTCGCAAGGCTGATTCAACCATCGAATCTTGGGACTAGAACCTGGAATGCGAGTGTTCGACATGTCGCGATTTGAGGGGGCGGATAAGGCCTGCGCGGCCAACCTGGCTGGAAGGATGGACAAAGTACAAAGTACCGGGTTGCACTGACTCTCGCCTGCGGGCTGTGCGCGTGCCATGCAGGGGCATCTTTGGCGCATTATCTGATTCATTAGTCATGCCCTGGAGCAAAAGCTCAGAGCTCGCAGTAATTGGATATACGGTCGTATGGTTGCAGTTAGGCTTGTGCAGCGAAACTGATCCTTTTCAATTGAAGGGTGGTGAGATGTCGGTCCATCTACGAGCTTGTCTTACAGGTATAGAAGAGCAGAGGATATGCCGGGGTTCATCTTGAGGTTGGAGACGGGGATAGATACAGGCTACCTAGTGCCAGCCAAGGACCGGGAGTTCTGTGAGCGTCTACAATCGGTACCAAACTTCTATCCCTCCTGAGAGACTAACGAAGCAAGTGACCTAGATACATCTCGACTCGAGTCGATTCCTCCAACTGCAGACAATCTGCTTCCCACCCAATCTACCGAACTTCCACCACAACCCTTTGCCTATTGTTGGATCGAGCCGAGTCTGAGTCCGACAAAAGAAGAGCTGCTGCTTGGAAGTTACGACAAAACCACCACGAGACCATTCAATATCCACAGGTTAGGCTTCGTGCCGGAACCGCTGTGTGTCTGAGATTCAGGCAAACCCCAGAGATGGCCGAGCAATTGGTGTAGACCACGACTCCAGCTCCAGTAACCGGAATGACCGCTGCCTCAGTCACCGAGCACGCTTCTGCAGTACTTCGGCAGGAAACGCATTGTATGCGAAGTTCAACATCAAGTCGATGTTTCAGACCTCTCCTTAGGTGAACAAAGTCAAGAAAGCTATACCGAGCCCAGACACTCACGGCACGAACATCTCTGCGCCGGACCCATTCACCAGCGCCTGGAGAAAGTTTCCCTTGGCACAAACCCGCCAGGCAACATTGCCAGCACCACTCGCGTCGCCCGACGAACCGCCACCCCCGACCCACGAACTCAGTGCCGCGACGACGGCTGATGCATCCGGTGCGGGGACTCGAATCCAGATTGTCTTGGCATTTGTACCGGTGGGAGGGTCGATCTTCAGTATATCAATCGAGATGGCCGTGCCGGAAAGCCCGAGAAATTGGTTGAGTGCGGCGGAGAGGTAGGTGCGCGCTGTGAGAGGGTCGAGTGGTTGGGTGAGGGTTGACTGTGAGACCGGGGGCTGATGCGTTCTGTGTTACAACTAATGAATCAAGTTCATAAGATTAGAGAGCAGCAAGGAACATACAATTGGAGCTTGAGGTAGGTCCAGAGGGGATTGCGCGTGGTGAATGTCAATGTTGGTGTGGAGGAGGTTTGCCCGATCGGGGCTTTGCGCTTCGCGCTCTCCGGTTCTGCTGGCTGAGATCGTGACGTGGTGGACATTTCGACTGATGTTGAGAATGGTCCTGAAATCAAGGTAGTTGAAATGATGACTTCGGTTTCCTTTTCGTTGGACAGTAAGTTCGGTGAGATTGTTGAACTGCGGTACAATCGGAGGATAAAAAAAAGTCGGGGAGTTTCCCGCCCTCCGTGATGTCACGGGGGCGACCGCCGTTCCCGCTATGTATCGGTCGAAGACAAGCCAATCACCAGATTTGGGAAGCGATTAGATTAATGCCTTTCTCAGCCTCTCATGCGCCTGTTGAATGAACTCGTCTTCGGATTGGGATCCGATCTCCAGATTAGCGATGCTGAGGATCTTGTCGCGCGACTTGAGCCCGCGGATTACTTCCACGTCTGACTTGGGCACTTTGAACGCCTGAGCTTGTTAGTTGGTATCATCCAGATCAAATACTGTACTATGTATGCTACCAGCGAGCACACGAGACAGGGAAGCGGAAGAATCCGAAGGGGCAATTACTTGTGCGACAATGCGAGATACCGCTGCATTTGCCTCGCCGTTCCGGGGCACTGCGGCAACGCATACAGAAACCCGATCCGCACTGATGTCGACGATGCCTTCCCGGTTGTTGGATGCGTTCGGCTTCACGTTGCAGGTTATCTGAAGACTGTACCGCCTGGGAAGCTGAGATGCGACACGGGACTTCGGGGTTACGGCCGGAATCAGACGGAGGATCGGGGGTGCAGTCATATTTGAAATGCAAGGATTGATTGGCTTTCTGGGGATTGAATGAGACGGAGATATAAAATAGCAGTGTTTAGGTGCAGTATAGCAGTTACTGCTGATGATGTTTTGACTGAATAATACAGTGGGAGGGAACTAAGTTAGAAAGCACTGCACTAAGTATCGGGAATTTGTCTTGGCTCATTCTGTTATTGGTTGCTGTATACTTCTAGTCCGACTACAGTACACGAGTCAATATCAGGGTCTTCAAGACCACACTCTCTTCTTGCTACAACTCCTTGGCTGCTAAGCAGTCTGCTTCTAGCAATTCCACTGCAGCGTCATCATGAAGGCGACTTCAAAGTTCTGGAAGGTAACAGTTGATGAAGTAGCAGGTGTTACCCCGGTGTGTTGATGACATCACACGCCGGGAAGATATCAGATTTAGTCATTGTTAAGCTATGTTCAATAATAAAAAAAGCTTCTCATATCAACAGAAAAGCAGACAAGCATTAGAGATGGGGGATGCACAGATTTGAGGTGCTCGGCCTCTTCCGGGTTGGCATTATCACTACTAACTGGAAGCATCTTTAAAATCCCCTAAAGCTGCTGAACCGCCTACTACAGATCAGCTAGGTTCCCGTTCTTCTGATAAGACCTACTCCAAAGTTCTAAGGCATAAGAGAGTGGGATAGTCTTCGAATACCGCAGCAGTACCCAGCCACTCGATTTTACAGGGTGGGTCCCTTGGGACAAAGAAAGACCTCCCGTGTACAAAGCTCATTGTCTGAAGCTTTCCCCGGCTTTGCGTTGTATCTGGATCCACATGCGGGTCCATAGAGGGAGAATAGAATCACTTGTTTGATATAGCTATTGTCGAGACTTCTCACAAGCTTGCTCACCAGCCCCGAATGAGTCATATGAATGGCAAAGGTGGAAGTCTTAAAAGACTCAACTTTTGCTATGAAGTCCCCAAGAATTCTTCACAGGGCTTGACCTGGTCAGAACATGTGTATGGTTAGGCTTTCGAAAGAGGTTGATACCCCACAGCTACCGCCCGTTGCTCTGGTTTCGCTGCGGAAGTGAAGTTGTATACTCATCTCCTTGTATTATAGCTCTCATAGTAATACACCGTTCTCTGAATCAGCACCGCGGTGAACGTGCAAGTCATGCATTATCCAGTAGGACAGTGATTGTTAATAAATTCGCAGGTAATGATGTCGCATTGTTAAAAAGCTCCGAGTGAAGCGAACGCATCTCGCTAGCAAGCTAGAGAGCCCTATTCACATTTCATTGAGACTTCTGAAACATCTACCCCAATTGAAGCCCCAAGTCCCAGCCTCCCATAAACGAGCCACCAAAGACGAGGTGCCCCCAACACAGAAGACCTATCTTCATCCTCGTCTGCTCTCTACTCTTAACGATTCTCGACCAAGACTGTCTTCGTATTTAATATCGACTCTGTTCTCATCAAAGCTCTCGACGTCATTCAGCTTCAATCTAGCTCCCCTTCCTCATAGGTTCTCATCTTCTTGCTCTTATTCTTACTCGGACTTTCCCTCTATCAGACATCCCTCACGGCTGAGCGGCTTGTGCTTAGACTTTAGTATCTCTCCCGTCAGAATGGATGTGCCACTGGGATTAAGCCAGACGTTCAACGTCAAGGGAAACAGCCAAACCAACCAAGGTATGCCCGTGGCCCTTCGGACAAGCCAGACGTTGAACGTCAAAGAAATCAACCATCCCAACCAAGGTATGTCCATAGTCCTGCGGACAAGACTAGCCACTAACAACAATAGCAGCATCAGCATCACAGATCGCTTGTGAAGATGCAAGCATTGTGTCAGATCAGACCCTTTCTGAGCAAGAGGATTGGTCATGGGACAATCTCCCCGACATCTTGTATCAGCTCCATCCCGTCGGGCCCAAGAGCAAGGCCAAGATAGGAATGAAAGCATATCCAATCAATGGAAAGTATTTGAGAGATATTCCTGTTCTGCCTGACCAGATTCCCACGGATGTCGAGGAATTTCGGGTGGAGGCTTGGATCCGACTGGACCGCCGCATTCGACTCGACGACATCCTCGACAGAATGCCAAGGGGTCACAGTGTTAAGCCCAACGCCCTTCAGCAGAGAGGCGGCCGATTCCGTCAGGCGTTCTTCCTGTGTGCCTGGGACTCCGGAAACAAGAAGAGCATTGCACTAGGTGCTGAAATCGAGCAGAAGTTGGTTGCTGCAGGCATCAGTCTCGGCCTGAACTCCACTCGTGGGATCACTCCCGGCTTAATCAACCCAGTTCTAGGAGAAGCTGGCGGCAGAATTCCCCTTCCAGCATTGTACCAGGGCAAGAAGCTGGCAAAGAAGATCCCAAAATACTCGCAAAGGAACAAATCGGACATCCATAGGACTGACGTCCCAGTCTCAACGGCTACCAACACCAAGCAAGCTCCTGAGCTCGTTCTGAAGGAGCATACATGGAACGGTGAGTTTGGCCAGGCCATTTGTTGTTTTCGCACCTTGACCGCAGACGTGCCTCGGGTCACATTGCTAGCGTTGAGCTAACGACTCTTGTCTTTCTCTTAGAGCCTTTATGCCATCCGTATGATACCGAGTTAGATATTAAAGATGACTTTCAGTGGACCCAGACGGATGATTACTTCACATGTTTTGGAATGCCGCTCTTTGAAGAGGAGAAGATCGCGCTTCGTGCCAGATGGGCACCACTCTCAGATGGCAGTGATTTGACTGCAGATGCGCAGGTCTCGAGCATCGTCGACATCGAGGACTGGGCTTTGGGTTTGCACTCATTTGACTTCGAGTCAAAGGCTCAGCCTACAGATAGCCTCTTTGATAAGATCATGCAGGACTATCACGACCGTGAGCCGTGGCGCCTGAGTACATTGTACCGGGAAATGGGTGATGGAGAGTTTGACATCTGATGCCAGTCTTGATGATGGGAAAGAACACAAGCAGCTTCTTCAGTTTCTGGGGACCTGAGAACTGTTAGTATGATTCTCGAACAAGAGATCCTCCATTCATATATCGCTGACTTGGCTCTCATAGCAGATCGGCAAGCGATTTATCCAATATGCGGCGCGCACCATCTACCTTTCCATTCTGTCTTTTTCTTTCTGTCTTTAGCGTTCGGTCTGTTCGTTTTCTTCTGTTTGGGCTCCGAAGGTTCATGAGATGGCGAAATCTTCAACTGGCTGTTAGCCATTTGAGTATGATCTGTGCTTTGATGCCTCAACCTCTCCACGCCTTCTGCCTTCTGTATGCATTCAATAAAAACCAAAAAGATGACGAAGAAAAAGGAAGGAAAGTCGGGACCGGTTCGAAGAAAGGAAGGAAATTAATCGAAACTGGGCTGAAGAGATGAAGTTTCAATGAATATTTCGAGGATAGGAGAAAAGAGGGAAAGTGTGTAATCACCCAAAAGTTGTCTCATGATAGCTTCTTTCTTCACAATGAAAAATGTCTTTATGGGTGAGGTGACCTGGACATCTTCGTATTTTACCAACATTGTGGTCCACTGAGCTTTCAATGACCTCTCCGTTCTTTACTTCCTGATTCTCCGCTTGGAAATCGCCTCGAGGTTGCGAGTGATGAAAATGACAGTGGGGAAAAATTCAACGAGGTTGAGTTGACTTAATCATGGTGCCTTGTGTGAACATTGCTGGAAGCGTGTCATGTCAGCCGAAATGAGCTGGTATACTGATAGTCAGTATATTCTCAGGTCTTAACGGACTTCAAGAAACGTAGTGAGGTTATTGCGAAGATAGATGTTCATGCAGAACTATGGCTAGTGGATGTGTAGCTGTCAATCGCTCGAGGAGGAAGTTGCAGGTGGTGGACCAAGCTGGGCGGTCATCGAAACTTCGACAACAGAATCGTTTAAGTTGTCATTTGCGCATGCCGTAGAGGTCTATAAGTATGCTTGCCACTAGCACAGGAAACTGGACCAAGCTTGATACTCTGCCCACCATACCCATATACTTCGTCGCTCGGAGCATACCATATACTTGCCCAGAACTATGTAGACCCCATAGACTCAAAGCTTAGTGAGTGAAGTGAATTCGAAGCCATGCAACATAGCCAAGCTGAGGGTCGTGCTTTCCCGAAGACCTATGCATGAATTGAAGTCTATCGAGATGTGGATGAGGCTAGCATGATAGACCATTAAGCCAAAGGAAGTATAAGATGCGGTCTACACTGCACCATTTCTTATCAGCCCATTGTTCCGCCTTCCATACCGCTTGTTGCTAGCGGCAGAATTAAGAAAGTCCCTTGATGGCGAATTAACGCGTTCCTGTCTATCTTGTTTCTTTTTTTACACTTTTCCCACTTGCCTTTTACATAAAACAAACCTTTTGCTTTACCAAAGTCCCAGGTAACTAACTCTCAATCCCTGGTGTACAACCATTTCATTCTCCCGATCACAGGGCTAAAGAACAAATAAATAGCCTTTCACCGATACAGGTTCTATAGCAGACTCGGTTGTTCCAGACTTCACATATCCGATAGCCTTCAGTCCTCTCCGTTCTCACCTTTCATCTTCATACACAATCTTATCGCCCGACGGATACCTCCAAACCCGCCTTTACCTATCACGAAATAGACTCTCGCCCACTTCTCACCTTCTATCACCTCTTACAGCTCTCTATTGTTTACTAAAATCATGATAACCTTTCGCTTCGTTGATTCTGGACAACGTGCATGAGTTAGTAAGTAGCTTCATCTCGAGTACCATGATGATCACGTGGCATCGAATCTAATCCCGTACCTGCAGAGCACCCCATGGAGATGGAGCCTAGCGGGGATCCCCTCGACTGGACAGTTGACGAAGTGGTACAGTTTCTGTGCCATAATCCTGACGCGCCATGGTCTCTCTCTTCGTCGGTTGTCGCGCGACCAGATCCTGTCACCTTCGAGGCCGCTCTGCGGGACAATGTGATCACGGGGGAGGTGCTTCTCCACGATGTTGACATTCATTCCCTGAAAGATGACTTGGGTCTAAAAGCCCTTGGTCCCCGCAGTAGTATGCATAGTGCTGTTAGATACCTGCAGCGGAAGTCTTTTAAATACCATCAATCGACGGCGCTATCTACGACCCCCTTCAGGAACCAAGTTCCCGATTATACTCGGTCTACTAGTCAGTCTACGTTCGCAAGCCCCGCAACTCTATCCCATACACAAGTGCCTCGTATAGAGACCCTTCAACGAGATGTTTTTCAGACCCCCCGCGTCCATTCCTCTCCCACACCTAGCGCTGCAATCCCAGCGGTGAAATCAGTACAGCCTCAGGATCAATTGCAACATTTCACTGCTGAGGACGGACACACATCAGATGATGACGGTGAGGAAGATGGCGTAAGCCTCGTTGTCCAATCAAATGTTCGTGCATCATCACAGGAGTCTCACAAGCGTTCACGTCCTGGTGAGCAATTGGTCATTGACAGAGAGGGGAAGAAACGACGCAAGCTTGATCTAAGCAAACTCGACGACAAAGCTGACAGTGCGACTAACAAACCTGCCGTCAAGCCTGCCGACCAATCTTCAAGCAGGCAATGGTACATGGGACCCGACGCGACCACACCCTCCAAGTTGTTCTATCCTCAAAGTCCCGCGACTGAAGACGATGAGTTCTGTATCTTTGGCTCACAATACCCCCCAGCTAGGCGCACCTTCGTCAACAAATGTCTATCTCACTTTTATCGCCAAGATGCTGTGCGACTGGGCCCGACCAAGCAGGCTGTGATTCCCTACAATCCAATTAAAGGAGCGAAAGCAGGCCAAAGATTTTTTACTCTTTATACCTCCAAAGGTGGCCACGTTGCAGTGAGTAAGCAAGATTTCCGAGACTGGCCACAACTTGAGAGTTCTAAGAGCTCGAACGGTTCTGAACCACCAAAGACCTCTGACCCATATGCATGGCTTCTGGAAAAGTACCCTGCCCAAGAAGATGGTCAGGATGCATTTCCGTTGTACGGAGACTCAGGGTCTGAGGCTGACTACGATGAGGAAACTTGGCGAGAGATTGACGAGGAGTCCCGAGCCCCTGTGAATGGCAAACGAGCCAAGCTTACTCCTGATGCGGTCGAGTCTATCATTGAGAAATGCATAGTGAAATATGAGACTGAGTGGCAGCAAATCTATAAGCCTAAAGAAGAAACCAAGGCATGGGCGAAATGGATGGCAGCTAAAAGGAGCAACAGCCGTAACCAGCAAATCAAAGAACTTATACGCTCACTCAAAAAGCTGGAAGGTCGCTTGCATAAATTGAAAGAAGCAATAAAGCAAGTTGACTACTCTTCGGAATCCGAGCTACAAACCCAATGTCAAGCTCTACAACAGACGATCTTCAGAATGCAGAAGCACAAATATCATATTCATGTAATCGGACTCGAGAGCTGCCCACCGAAGGTGGCTCCTCCGCCGAAGTTATCGAAATTCATAAATCGGCGCAGTAACAGAAGCGATGATGCTGAATCGCTTGACTCGGACTCCGACGATTTCATCGATGACTCTGGAGTTCCACCACCACCACCTTTTCAACGAGCTTCTCATCCAAATGGTGCGACGCACCATTCTTCATCTTCTGATGAGGAAGGAGATATAATCAGTGTTTCTGGAACGATACGGAGGGTGAGATCTCGAAGATATCCATTCGCCGTTTCGAGTTCACCAGACTCAACGCCTGTCGTAACCAATGATGAGACACCGAAAATCATTGACCTTACAGATGACACACCACACCCAGATGACTATGATATCGCGACACCGCCTCTGAATCCAGTGCAGGTTGAGGTGCCGCAGGTCGATCCTGCTCTATACGAGAGCATGTCCCCTGTTTCAGACCTTGGTCCTAGCTTCGCTATAAAAAGAGAGGGGCCGCAGAGGAGAAGATCCATTTCTCTGCCTGACATCGATGACTATGAAGCACTCAAAAAACTGGACTCCAGCTTGTTGGAGGAGCGTCGAGATCCGCGTCGTCTACTCGTCAAGCTGATTGCCAACCTTGCTCCCAAGGACCGGTCCCAGATGGCCGAGCGCATACCCAGCAGATATGAGGAAGCGGATCTTCGAGAGCTCACTGTGCGAGCGCTGGAGTTGATGCTTCAGAGCCAAGACCGATTGCCTGACTTGGAACATACAGAGAGTATGCTCGTCATGCGCGCTTCGTCCTTCTACATTTCCTGGGTCACCTGTTCTCGGCTCACAGCCAAGGGGATTCCTAGAAACAAGGTTCGTAAAGCGTTACGGGAAGTTGAAGGCTATGGGGAATTCTATCAGGAGTTATCCTACCATCTGGCAGCATACTGCGATTGGGAGCGAAGCAATGGATTTGGGCATAGCGATGTCAACGACACACCCCATAGGTCCAGAAAACGGGCCGTCCAAGAGAGCGAAGCTGCCAGGAAGGCACGAGAGAATGCGCAACGCCGTCTTGCAATGCAGGAGAACTCCGCAAAGCTGTACATGGAGAGCATGGGAGCAGCCAATACCGACCATACGAATCAAGTTGTGAGCTTTGGGGATCCACCAATTCACCTGCATCAGGC